AGCTATGTAGTCGCACCGGAAATACCAAGAACACACACTTCGCCAACTTCCCATCTCGTGTAGGTGGCTTAACTTCTAACTGAAAAGATAACGCGCGATTTCGTGGTCGAATCAGACAAGCTTGAAAAAAAAGGCAAAATTGCTTCACAAATTAATCATGCAATTAATTATGAATTGAATTATAATTAAATAATATTATTAATCATATTGTGCATTTTTTTTAATTTCCTATGTTCTTTGGCATATTATATTCATAATTTTCCACATATATCATATATTTTTTCATTTATTTCACGTATTTTATTTTTTTCGCGTGTGTTTACCATAATTATTAATACACTTTGAATATTTATTTCATCTTTTTTTAACGTAAGAGAGAAATATCTACAATTCGATTTTTATACATTTCTCATCGTGCCGATGATTTAGCAATAACAATCTATTTTATCCCTCATTAAAGTTTTTTAAAAATTAGATTCTGTCGATTTCTAATAACCGATTCTTTTACAGTTCAACTTCGCCAAATTATTATTTTAATTAAAGATTATATTTTAATAAATTTAGTCTCTCCTATATTTTTTCGCAAGCGAAAGAGAAAAGCTCAATAATTTAAAGAATTAGTTTTTAGTTATCTTTCTTTCTTTCTTTTTTTATAATATATAAAAATAGTAATATTATATATCATTATCTGTATAAATAAATTATAAATATAATAATACTTTTTATATTACGGAGATAAAGAGAGAGTAACCATAAAAAATAATTTAAAACATTTTTCTTTTTTTTTCTCGTTTCTGCAACGAGGTTTTTACGCAATTTTATCTCGAGAATACAGAAATTATTGCATTTAAGGGGATGATCGACAATCATTTCACCATTGACATTTTTAATTATTCGATAAAATATCGAGAATGTACTAGAAAATTAATCAACGTCAAACTCGTGATTATTTATCCAGAGAGAGAGCGAAAAAAACATTTCTTTCTGAAGCTGCAGCTACAGTTGAGAGAGTCCAAAGTCGCGCGACGGGGTGCAACGAGAAGGGAAGGGAGGAAAGCTATGTAGTCGCACCGGAAATACCAAGAACACACACTTCGCCAACTTCCCATCTCGTGTAGGTGGCTTAACTTCTAACTGAAAAGATAACGCGCGATTTCGTGGTCGAATCAGACAAGCTTGAAAAAAAAGGCAAAATTGCTTCACAAATTAATCATGCAATTAATTATGAATTGAATTATAATTAAATAATATTATTAATCATATTGTGCATTTTTTTTAATTTCCTATGTTCTTTGGCATATTATATTCATAATTTTCCACATATATCATATATTTTTTCATTTATTTCACGTATTTTATTTTTTTCGCGTGTGTTTACCATAATTATTAATACACTTTGAATATTTATTTCATCTTTTTTTAACGTAAGAGAGAAATATCGCGAGAGAGATGTCTCGATTGGAGCATCACCTCGAAGAGAGGCGAAGCAATTAAAGCGAGCGATCGATCGCGCGCGTTTCTATCGGCGCTACTTTTTCTGGCAGGAGAAGAGAAGAGACCATCGATCGATCCAGGACGAGAGTGGTCCAGGACGAGTGGGGGATCCGACGAGGACGTGTTCGCAGGCAGCTGCAGCATCACCTGCTCGACGGCAGCTGGTACGGACTCCGACGACGCGAGTCGGGGCCCGCCTGCGGGGACCGTCTGATCGCCCGGTTAAATTAACCCCGATACGCGCTAACGGAGGTTAACGCGAACCCCCCATCCCCGTTTCATCGTTCGTAACGCATCGATACGCGCTGCTCGTAATTAGCGGCAAAAAAAATTACGTCAATTTACCCGGAACAAACGGGATCTACGATATTTAAAATACGCCTTTAAAAAAGAGAGATAAAATAATATCGAAAATTATTTTCCACACGTGTTAAATCCTTTTTATATTAAAAAAATTGACGTGTTTCGAAAATGTATTGTCGAATGATTCATATAAAATAATAATATAAAGTTGTGAATTATTATATATAATTTTTTATATTCTGCTTCAAGTACGCTATGACAGCTAAAATTACGAGAATGAATTTGAATGATATCGCGCGATTCGGTTATCAGGCGGCGATTTTGCGTAAACGAAATGCGTGTATTCTACCGTGATTCGTTACCCGTCAGTTAAATGCCTTCGCGAATAGCGTGTTCTGCTATCGAGAGTCAATCGATTCACGCGCCGCCGCCGCTCGCGAACTTGATCGCGGAAAAACGTAACGCGTTGCTTTCGGAACCGCTCGGTTTCCGCTCCACGTTTTTTCTCGTTTTTCCGCACGCGCGAAAAAGTACTCCTCGCTGTCACGCGTCATGATACGAAAGTTCTATTCACTAGCTATGAATAGAGACGTTCGCTCGCGATATATCTATAATAAAGGAATATAAACAGCTCGCATTCTTTTGTAATATATATTAATTATTTCCGTCGATTTTTGTTGGCCTAGATTGTTGGTTGTGAGAAGATTTTTCTCGGTTATTCCGCGAGTTATACGCGCAATATTTTCGCAATTTCATAACAAGAAGAAATGTAATGTTGCATTAATTTTTTGGATATTAAACTTATGGTGAACTATTAAATCTAGGCATTTCCAGTTGAGCACTAATTATCGCAACAAATTCTTCAACCACAATATAATATTTAGATACTAATTCGATAATTGTGTCTATTCTTTGATTAATTCAGATTATTCGATTAATTCGACTGTTTGAATTTAAAAATTGAATTAGTTTTGTTTTTAGAAATCAATTTTTGTTCATTGTTCTTAGCTTCTTTTCTGTGGTTTCCGGATGTTTATCGGAAAAAACGCAAAGTTAGGAAGATTAATTCAATCGAGCTAATCAATTCGGAACGCAAAAAGATCATTTTCCTCATCTTCCTCTCTCGATGGTTCTAACGTTGGCTCTAATTTACAGAAACGCGATCACACGGCACGCGATGAAGATGGTTTCGTGTTTCTTGCACCTGCGAGCACCAGCAGTACCAGTCGCCGTCGTGCATACGCTTCAGGAATGCGTCGGGTTAACTATACAAGGTGTATCGAACCTATGCGTAAGTATTACATCTTCAAATAAAACTTAAAGTATAAATATTGTGTAAGCACAAAACAATTCTCAAATAAAAAAAAATATAAAAAATAAAAATATATGTATATATTATACTAAAAAAATCATCATTTTATCTTGGTTGAAATTTTACATTTAAGAACTCAAATAAAATAAGAAATTAAAATCTTTTCCCCTCGCTATTTTTTTATTATGCCAAGAATCAAATGAAGAACGAAAAAAAAAGTAGTAAAACATACCGCTTTATAATCTTGTAGATTCTATTCTAATATTTTTTTATCACAAGCCTTAATTAGTATGTGATATTGAATTCTTGCATAATAGAATTTTATCACTGAAAGACATTATTATATTTTAAATTCTCTTTACGATTCTAGATATCTAGAAGCTTAAATAGCTTCATAAATCTTAAACTCTGTATAGACTCTAGATTTTACTCCAATCCAAATTTTTAATTTTTTAAAACATGTTTCTTTCGCGAAAAATTTTGATCGCGAAGATCCTTGACGATATGAAGGAGCGCGAAACTTCCGAGACACCTTATGTACTCCAACGTCCAGATGTTAGTACGTCAAGCGATAAAAAAGAGATTCTCGCATCCAACTCGTTACGCGTTCCAGCGCAAATGGATATTAATTGCCGAGGCCATTGGAGAACTTGTTGGGTTAACCCTAACATGAATATGCAGGATTTTAAAAGACGAGGAAGTCGTCCTATCGCGCGTAACTTTGCAGTAACGTCGAAGTTGAAATTAATGCAAGGCATTCCGTGTACAGAGTGCGTGAGTAGTCCGTGCTCGCAATTAAACCGCGGTATCTCGAGAGAAGATAAACTAATATCCTCAAAATATATCAAAATGCTCCTCAAAATTAATAATAAACAATTCTAAAAAGACATATTGTTTGTGTTTTAAACAGAGTGGAATATTATTTTCTATCTTTCTAAAGCAACCATGACTCTTCCATATTTTCGAAATATATAAATAAGGTCATGCAAACTATAAAGCTATATTATGATGTCTAAAACACGATTGAAAGATTCAATTGCGACGAATTTAAAATCGATATTTCCATCACGAGCATTAAATAAAACGTCAACGAATATGCATTAGCGTTGAACGCCAACTGAGCTTGTGCAATTTACTGCAATATTGCTGTTCGAAGTCAATGTTAAGACCTTGCACTCCACGTGCACGCGTACATTATTATAGCATGCACGTGCGCATCGGAAGATTGTGAAACAGGGGGACGGAAAGGGGGGAAAGCATGACTGTGATTAGATTATCGCGCGTTTTTAGCATTCAAGTCTTTTCTTCCAAGTTTTAAACCTTCCCGTATATTCTTTGCTATACATACATGTTACACCTATTCCGTAAATCTCTCCAAGTTTCTTTGAGCAAAAATAAATAAATGGTGATCGAAAAGTGAAAAAAATCACAAAAATTATAATCAATTAAAATTACATGAAATATAAATTAACAATAACAATGATTTTAGCGATTTCCGTAAACAGAATAATCTGATTTGTAGATTACAAGAGGCATCTCTTTTCACAAAAGAAATTGTCTTCAATAGTAATAAATAATTGATAAAAAAAAACTCAATGAAACACTTAATATAAATGTATTAAATAAAATTTAAAATACATTTAATTAAAATGTATTTATTAGATATCGTAAAATTAAATCAATTGAAAACCTTAAGACTGGGAATGTCAAAAGTTAATTGGTTTTACGAGTGATATCTGTATAAGTGCTGTAAAAGCGTCGACTCGCACAATCGCTAAAAGTGCATCTTTAGCAAAGTTCACTATCTGCCTCATTCCCCCTTATATTCTTCTCTCTTTCTCTCTCTCTCTCTCTCTCTCTCTCTCTCTCTCTCTCTCTCTCTCTCGATCTCGGCCGAGGCATTACGAAGCGAGGTTTTAACGCGCAGCGCCGACAACGCAATGTATTTACAAACACGGCCATGTAAGGCGAGTTCTCGCCTAATTGTGTCTACGGTCGCGCTCGCGTTTCTCACCGCTACACGCTCACACGTTCACTCCCACGTTTTTTTTTCCGACAGAATGAAGGAAACGTGTTTTCCTTGCCCTTTCGCAGGTATCTCGAGCCACTTTTTAAATAATTTGTCCCAAATCACAAAAGAAAATGGATCATTTCGGAGAAATGTCTGTAGTTTTCAACAGAGTAGTATTCAAAGATGCCATTCACGGCGAGAACGAGAAAAAAACGTCAGAGAAGATTCTTTTCAAGCACTCCCGCTGGGGACGACTCACAGTTCCAGGGGCTCATACATCGGCGGTAGCGGCTCGTCCTCGGAATCGTAGAAATATGGTTTTCTACGGTAGCCGCCGTTGGACCGCTGCTCGTCGTCCTCGTCGTCCACTTCTTCGTCCTCATCCACCTCCGAGCTCGAGAGCTCGTCAAGGTTCGCCTGCAACCTCTTGACCGCCTCTTTGATGAGACCGCCCTCGCGCAATAACTCCTGCAGCACCTCATATGGATCATCGTCCACTCTATTCCTCTCGGTCCTCTTCAGGTGGCTGTGATAATGATGATGATGACCGCCGGTCACGTGATTCTGCTGTTGTTGATGGTGAGATTGGCTGCTGGATCGCAGGCCGCAAACCTCGCAACCGGCCGCCGGGTCCGCCCAGGAACGCGCCGGTATCCGGTACGGCGACGGCCGGCTGTTCTTATGGCTGACGCTGGACTTGGCCTTCAGGCTGGACAGCCGCAGATTCTCCTTGATCTGCGACACCAGCAGGTCGACGTCGCGCGTTAGGAATGTGTCCGCCTGCGCCGCGCCGTCCGGCATCACGCCGATCAGATACGTCGTCTCCTCGGCACTCGGCATTTTCTTGCAGTCTGTTTACGTTATAGCGAGAGCACGGATGTTTGCGCTGCAAGCTTACCACTGCTTTGTAGTAAATGTGCAATGGATACCTCTCTCTCTCTCTCTCTCTCTCTCTCTCTCTCTCTCTTTGTGTATTTTCCTAAGTCAGCTCAAGAGAATAAGTCGAGGTGCTTCAACCTCGTCCATTCGTGTACCGGGCGATAAATTCAATTTACAGGTCGATGAACTTGCTCGATGTTAAGGAAGGATAAGCCACTAATTAAGAACGCCGATAAAGTCCAACGCGAACTTTCGTGGCCTATTGATTGTGACGTTTGATTTTGATATCGCGCGAATACCGCTGGCCAGATCGTCTACGTCGGAACAAGTGCTGTTTCTCAACCTTTTCGGCAGCCAATGAGATGCTCCGAGAATATCGTCACTTTTTTCATATTTTATTTGAATATAAATTTATTCACAAGCTGAAGATTAATATTAAGAAATCCAATGTGTCAAAAATACGCGATTGAATTTTTGAGGAATACGTCGAGGCATTAATAATGTTTGAATAAAAATTTTATATTATTTCAAAACTAAAATTTTAATATAAAAATTTTAAAATATACTTTGAAAAAATGAAGTTTAATTAAATTTTTACTAAAGAAAAATTGACTCTAAATTTATCACGAAATACGCTTTGGAGTTTTGTAACAATTTAAAAATATTTTAATAATGATAATGATACCATTAATATATTATATATAAGATAAAGTGCTCGTTGCGTTTTTAAACGAATACTTTGTACATTCGGATGCAAGATTGAATGGAGCGGCGCGTGCTGCTTAAAGGTAGATAAATCAAGCAAACGACTTCACACGACAATACGTCATCCTGCTCGCCGCAGGAGTTGGACGAGGACTTCATCGTTCTCGCCATAATAAAAGTGTTTAAGATCCGGGGATTTCCGCGGCAACGCGAAGGAAAAATTATAGCTATTGGATTTTCTTCGCGAACGCAGAACGGAAAACGCGGGAAAAGTCATGATATTTTCTTCCGCGTGGCAAATTAAAACGGAAAAAAATCCGCTATGTACGTGATTGCCGTATATATCCCGGCGCCGGTCGCCCCCGCCCCGCCGCCCTGCATCAGCGGTATGGACACGCTCATGGACACCCGCGAGTGTCGGCTGGGCCCAACCACTGCCATCAAAGCACTTGCTGGCCCGGCCACCCCCTCCCCCACTTCACGGCCCCCTCGCCACCACGATGAAGCGAGCCACCGTTATTATTGTTGTTTGCGTCGCGTTTGCGCGATCGACGGGCGGAATCGATCGATGAAATCGATGGAAACGATATCTCACGCGATCAGCATAATTTTTTTCCTGCTTTCTCCGTCTCTCTTCTCTTGCCTCGTCGAAGGGGAGTACTGTCACTCTGTATTGCTTTTTCTTTCCCGTTCGCGCTCGGATCAGCTGTGCGCCTCCACTTTCGCGGGAAGGAGAAAAATGCGCGCGGAAAAACGTCGCGTCCCTTTATCGGCTCTTTCTTTATCCGTCGTTTACACCGTTGACAAGGACACCTGTATTATTGTTGTTCCTGTTCGACCTTTGATTCTGCGTTTGACGAGCCCCCTCCTCCGCGTGTGCCCTTGATTAATATACGTATATATATAATATATCCCCTCTCGTCACGAACGCGACAGCGAACGGCACTTAACGCGCTCGGCGATACTTAGGTTATGTTTGACGCACGCATGCATGCATGCATGCACGTACGCACGCACGTACGTACGTAAGTACGCATATACGCGCACACACATACACACACACACACCATCCACCGTTGCACTATATGTACATACTCTCCAATCACGGCCCGCCCCACCACTCTCGCCGTCTCGTCGCGCGTCCGTCAATTGCACTCGGCGGCGGACCTCATAACAGCGTTACGGGGGGGGGGGGGGGGG